CACCGGACTGTGTAGTCATCCAAGTCACAGCCTCTTAACTTGTTCACCAGTATGGTGTGGGATACCGTATCAAAGGCCTTCCTGAAGTCTAAGTAAATGACGTCAACCCCTACTCCTGCGTCCAGGTGTTTTGTAACCTGGTCATAAAAAGAGACTAGATTAGTCAGGCACGATCTACCTGCTATGAACCCGTGCTGGTTTCCCCTCAGCATAATTTGTCCTGCCGGGCTCCCGCAAATGTGAGCCTTGATAATTTTTTCAAAGACTTAGCCAAGGATGGAGGTGAGACTGACTGGCCTATAGTTGCCTGGGTCCTCATTCCTCCCCTTCTTGAAAACGGGGACCACACTGGCCCTTTTCCCGTCCTCCAGAACCTAGCCCGTGCGCCATGAGCATTCAAATATTACCGCCAGTGGCTGTGCAATGACGTCAGCCAGTGCCTTCAGTACCCTCGGATGGAGCTCATCCGGGCCTGCCGACTTAAACGCATCCAGTTCCTCCAAGTGCCTCTGCACCATCTCAGGGTCTGCTCTTGGTAGTCTGGCACCCTGCTGCTGCCTCTCTACAATCCCAGTGAGAGACTTGTCTTGCCCCTCGCTTAGGAAAACCGAGGCAAATAACTCATTGAGGAGTTCAGCCTTGTCCCCCCTGTCCATCACCAATTGCTTATGCCCATTTAGTAGAGGTCCTATTCCACCCTGGGCCTTCATTTTACTCCCTATATATCTAAAAAATAATTTTTTGTTATCCTTAACTTGGGATGCCATCCTCAGCTCCATGGTAGCTTTGGCCTGTCTAACTGCCTCCCTACAAGCACGGGACTTCCATACCTTATTCTTTCCACTGTCTACCTTCTCCCCACCTGATCTGTACCTAAGGGGGCAAGGGCAGTAGCCACTGCCAAGGCTGCTCCTACAGGGTCTTACAGGCTGGGGTGTGCCCCTGCAGCCCTCCTTGCAGTCCTGGGAGCATGGGAGAAAAGTAGGAGACAAGCCAATTTGCTAAGTGTGGCTCTGGTCCCACTTCTCTTCCCTCCCTACCTCCCTGGCCCCCATGCTGTCATGGCCCACCACTGCTGGGGTCTCCCTAGAAACCAGCCACAGCAAAGTGGGCAGGGGCTGATGGGAAATGGAGTCCACTGCAGGCCCGATCTGCCCTACTGGGCCAGGCTTTGCCCACCCCTGCTTTAAACCAAGGGGCAAGAGGGCAGTTCTCAGCTGCTTCCATCCAACGTGCAAAAACAGCTCAACATCTTTCTGTACCGACACCTACATACCTAGGCATCATACTACTTTGACTTTCAAGGAATGCATTCCCCAAGATCTCACTGGAAATTAAAAAAAAAGTAAAACCACCTGTTGAGCAAATCAGCTCATTCAACCTACGAAACCAATGCACAGACACTGAGAACTCCAGGCTCACCTTGTGCTATTCCGTAACAGAGCACAGACGCCTGGTGTGGCCCAACTCTTCTCACATCAAGCTAGTAAACACTCACCTGACGTGAAACCAGACACATAACAGGCACTATGAAAACCATCAGATGGGCCTAGTTGCTGCTTTATCCAGCATCTGGAAAGCACATTGCAGAACCTGTGACATTACATCTACCTTTGTTTGACAACATTAATTCACTGACCACATTTTACATCAAGTCATGCTGTTTGGACAGTTTTCTCTAGGCAAGAGGTTCCCAACCACCAGGTCGCAGCCCAGTATCAGACCACAGACGGTTGGCTGCGGGGTCGTGGCATGAGCCCTCTGTTTGGAGCCCTGTCCATTTGCCCAGATGAGCGGCTTCCGCCACCAGCTGTCACACACTGGGCAGCGGGGCAGCCCCGGGAGGGAGGTAGCCGGCTCTATTCACCCCATCCCACTCCCATGCCAGTCTACAATATAGAAAAGGTTGGAAACTACTGCTCTAGGCAACCTCAGTGTTGCCTCCAAAACAGCCTATGCTAGGTCAAGGATGGCCAGTCTTTGGCACAAGGGCAGCCTGGGACAGGACAGCATGTGCCTGATAAGGGACAGGACAGGCAGCATAGTAGCAGATGTAGTTCAGCCCACTAATTTACACCTCGTACCATGACAGAGGCAAAAGCTTAACTGCTTTAAATGCGTGGCACACAATTGCAAGCAGGGCTTTCGCTGCTACAGTTAAGAAATGTGGGCCACATACTTGCAGACTGCACCTTTTATTAAGTGCTTCTTCATTCATTCCTTTACAGTTAATGCTATATTCCCTATCCAGCAGATGAATGATAAAGGTGCAGGCGAACAAGCTTGATAAGGCTGTGTAAACGAAACTGCAATATATAGACATCTCATGCAATAAAGATGCTATTCTACAGAAGCTTGACCACAAAACTAACTTTGGTTTCCCTACTGGAAAAACATATAGTGAATTCCTACACCCTCAGGTAATTTGAGAAAGAGGTTTGTGTCACAATTAGAAAATGTAAAATGCATTTATCATAGTAAG